TTTTTTTCTATGCGTTCTTTTTGTATTAATATGTGTTTGTCATGTGTTTTCTTTGTTTGTTATTGTAATTTTGTTCCTTTTTACTCCTTGTTTAAGTCCACTTAAAGTTGAACATTGTATATGGATTAATATTTCCAATAAAGCAATATGTAACAACAGTTCTATTTTTAAAACTTTTATGAATTTACCTTTTTAAACTTAAAATACATTCGTTATAGCCTGTCATTAGATGCCTTTAATAAGTAACTATGCGTTTTCTAGATTTGAATAACTTCAAATAACGTCAAAATAAATATTTATTACTTTTTCAAAGGGTTAATTTGAATATTTTTCTAATTATACTTTTCATAATGTAATATCAATATTTGAGTAGCAAACAGTAGATTTAGAAATAACTCCGGTAAGTAATGGCCATATCGAAAGACATGAATAAAAAATTTGACCACTTCTGTCATTCAATTTCACTAAATGAATGTCACTAAAATTTGACAATCGAAGTCATTCAACTTCGGTCATATAATTCAATTATGCTAAAATTAAATTAGTATAATATTTAAATAAAAGGAACATTTAACAATATTTTATTATTGTCAATAATAATCACGAAAAATAAAATAAAAATTAGAATCCTCTCCATTTCTATAAATGCCTTGTAACTACTTAGTAATTTCATACATAGCGAATTCCACACTTCTAGAAGAAGAAGATCATAGGTATCCACACATGTGACTCAAGACGTCAACGCAAGCTGATCGCTTATAAGCTAAATGGCGTGTTAAAGTTGAGCAAGGTTTCTCCTGTACATAACTACTGTGATTCTTTCTCTTCTACATCTTTCGTTTGACTTAGATTTATTATTTGTTTGTATATTTTGTTATAGCCATGATATATTTGTACCCGGCAACTCCAACGCATTATTAGTTTCTTTATGTTCTATATGGCTTCATGCCTGTCTTTGTGTTAAGTAAGAAATACTGGGAAAAAATTGAAATCTTTGTAAAAGAATCTTTGCGTTCGAATGTGTCACTTAAGAGTATTGATACTTGACGGGCTTGACTTACTCTAAATGGAATGGTGAGAACAGTTACTAACGTAAGCAAATATCACGTTTCAACAACGAATCATGAACAAGATACCCACATTACATCACTTGCAGGTATGCAATATACCTGCTAGTGCAATATACCTTTAAGCGACGTCACGTTTGGGTTAGCCAATCAGGTTCTACACTCGCGCATGACGTTCGTGTGCAGGTTTAAAATTAAATCTGATTTAAAAATTGATCCAGTGTGATAATGAACCTAAGCCTAAAGGTTTTAATCCTAACATGCCATACACAACCACTTATATCGACTCAACCATGTGATTAACAGCAACTACACAACCGATACAACAAATGTTATGAAAAATGTTAAAAATATATTTACAGTGTGACAATTCCTCCATTGCTCATTTCTAATGACTTGGGTTTACAATTCGCAGAAGTTACATTCAAATCGATACCTGATCGATTTAAAGCCGGCAAATAACCTGAAAAAAATTTTACAAATTAGAAAATTGCTGTAAACAGCTATATTTTTGGACATATTATCACATTGTATTATTAGTTCATTATCGACTGTTCTATAAAACATTTATTTCAGCAACTATATTTGAAGTTACTAAATTTGCATTAATGTTTCTAAAATGTACATTATTTTCACTTACTTGAATTATTAATTATATCCTTAAACTCAGATGGATTACATGTGTCTGGTAAACATACACCAATTGAAAGTGGAAGATACTTCTAAAATAAAAATTCTTAGATGTTTATGATATTAATTTGTAATAGTTTACTGTATCTAACTATACAAAAAATTTTAATGACGATATCGCAGTTTTCCATTGATGTCGGTGCATTTTTATTGGCCGGAAAATCGCCTGGTAGGATCCAGATTTCCCATATTAATTTGAATTATAGTTTGGTTGTCATTCGCATAAAATCGATATAAGTCATAAAGGTATTGTTTTCCTATAAATATTTCTGTATCCCTAATTTGAATAGGAAATACAAAGCTATAAGCTAATGCATACAGCTCGTCGCACTCTTCTACAATCTACAATTTAGAGGTTTGTGGCGTAACTATCTCTACGAATATTAAACATCAATTCACTGGTATATAAGACATGCTAACTTGATTCAATCATGAGGTCGCACCTTCGAGCATTGGATCTCACCGAGTGAAGTTGTTTTATAACTGAGCTCGGAGCCACCATGTCTACCCAACGATTCGGACGCGGAGGGAAGGCTTACCGATCCTCTCGCGTTCCAGCCATTGATCACGAAGCCATTAAAGAGCAGACGAGAAAGAGATTAGATCTCCTCGGCTTTTATCCAAAGGATGAAAGAGTAGATATTAAAGATATCGATCAACAACTTCTAAGATATCAAGAATACTCCAATGAATCTACAATGCTGATCAACCGATATCCCAGCAACCCCCAATTGTATCCAGTCCATTATGAGTGGATTTACTGCATCGAAGCATTGGAAGCTCTTAAGGACTCAATCGCCATCCAGACAGCAACTCCTGTGTTGGAACTACGGATATACAGACTACAACCCCGGTTGACTCAACTCCTGTAACAGAAGAGCCAGACTCAATCCCCACCTCTGAGCCTGCTGCACAGCAACCTCCTACTGTTGTGAAGGAAAAGAAAAAGAAAAAACGGCGAAAGAACGGTGTCAACCCGGCGACACCAACCAGTTCTGAACCCAAGTGAGAAAGTGAGCAACCTCACCACAAGAAAGAGACTATCCCCACAACATCGGCGGAAACAGATATAGAACAGATGGAGCTAGGAGATACTACTGAAGCCCCGGCAACAGTTGAGACCCCAGCTACTTCACCTGTGCAGAATGATACCCTGCATCCCACCGGCAAGAAAATCAAAGCCCTCGTACGTGGACTTAACATCGACACCGAGATGGTGAATCTCGGAAGCGAACTCTCAGATATTGGTCTTCGACCAATCAGAACAGAGCAGATGAGAAAGAGGCGTGTCTAGGAATACAAGCTCCTCCCATTCTTCCTAGTCATTCTGAACGATGTTCCCGAGCACCGGAAAATCTTCAAGCTCAACCGACTGCTGAATACACTCGTCCGGGTGGAAAGATTTCGTGGCGGCCGCCACGAAATCCGGTGCTTCAGGTGCAAAGGATTTTGTCACACACCCAGAAGGACTGCACAGATAAGTCAGCGTGCATGAAATGCGCAGGAGCGCATTACTCCTACCAGCGCACGAAGCCCTCGAGTGAGCCCATCCAGACCTAGGAGAAAATTCGCACCGAAAAAGAAAGAACATCGGATCCCCACCAGCACAGCCACCAGATTCCTGAGAATAGTGAAGGAATTGCAAGAACTCCTAAAAGACGAGGAGCTAGTTTCACTGCTCCAATCCCTCCTCCCAGCTCCCAAGACCTAGACCCGGAGATACTCCAGCAAAGACGACCACAGATTTCCATCAGTGGAATACTCATTTTGAACTTTATGCCATTAGTCACCGTTGCCCTAGGGCAAATTTACAGATTAAAAGTTCAGGTGCCCGCTAACGCGGGCAGGTGCCTTTATAAATCCAGATCGTCGTCGTCGTCGTCAATCATAAGGTACCGATTGATAGATGAAGGTTGGCATTGTCGATAACAACTCACTCCCCCCCATATTGCTGATCTCCGAACGTGATTTGTCCACGCAGAAACGCCAAATTCGCAAAAATCTTGACAGTAACGCCCACTTTAAACTGGTAACGCCTAATTCGTCGGATGGTCCTCACTGAACAGTTGACTTGCTACTTGTGACTGCAATATTATCTAAACCTCCTCACGCTATTGCTTCTCAGTCTTGTCTCGATTATACACAACGTCAGCCTGCATACACTCGGCTGCTAATGGCAACACAGGAGCAACTACGACTGTGAAGTTAATACACCTTTCACATTCAGCACTAAAAAAGACGGTGCCCTTAATTGCAGCTCTCTCGGTCTTTTACAAGTACAGCAACTAACGGTATCCGTCCATCTAATTCCATCCCTGATAAAATTCTGGTGGGAGAGTATTGTGGCGTAACTACCACTACGATTGTTAAACATCAATTCACTGGTATATAAGACATGCTAACTTAATACAATCTCGAGGTACCTTTTGAAAGATGAAGGTTGGCATTGTCGATAACTCCGCCCCCCCACAGGTATTTAACTGCACTGTTGTTTGCTTTCTAAATTAAGAGTTTAAGGGGATTGTTATTAGAATAACGTAATTTTATGTTATATTTTAAGATAAAGTTATTTAAACTGGTGTCCGAGCTTATTAACCATTTAAAATTTTTATTTTTCATTTAAATTACATTAATATACTAATATATATAACGGTAAAAGAGACTCGTTTAATGATTTAGAACTTAACTTTTAGCTTCAGGCACAAAGTGATGAGTGCAAACATAGTATTTAAAATGTATCAGTCTGTTTGGTAAGCAATAACACTAAATTACAGTTGTGAATTCACTTAACTTGTTACAACATTATACTTATAATTATAAATGTTATTTCAAAAAATTATTTATGTCCACTAATCAATCTTAATAGTATCATAAGGGAAATAGTTAGACGTGGCATGTGGTGGCGCATGTGATCTTTTTCATACACATATGTTAGGTTGAGTAATTTCAACTGTTTTGTGTCGAGAAACAACAATGATTGCGAAGCAATCATCGGGATTGGTGAGAGGTAGCGAACAGGTAATCAGAAAATTATAAAATTTGTTTTTAAAAGTCTACCATCGCTGTAACTTGAAGGGTGCAATATAGTCCTTGAAATCCTCCTCTGCCACGGTTCTTCGGTGCGTAAACACTTTTGCATTCATCAAAATCTCCCAGCCACTTCACATTTCCTTCTAATATTCCACTTTCTGGCTTTCCAAAAGAATCCAACACTGAAATAAAGTAATTTTTTTAAAAGCTAATATAATAAATGATACAATTGCTTGATACATTCATTTTCTGCATTCAGTAATATAACTAAGAGGTTAAATATTTACTTCCTGATATCTAAATCATTTTTGGAAATTTCAGGTTATTTTTAAAATGGAGATTTCATTATTTGCATCTCATGTACGAAATTATTAGATGTTGCATCTTATATATGTGTTACCGGCAAAGTTTGAAATCCGGCATTCTATAGAATGCCTAGGCATTGTATATAATGCCTAAAACTAGCCGGCAATGTATGAAATGATTTATATTTCACACTTTTCCAAGGCATTCTATAGAATGCCAAATGAGAAACCGGCAAAGTATAAAATCTTCTGTGGCCATGCTAGTAAAGATGATGAAATGGATATTTTGTGCAATATTTGTTTCAAAACAGAAAGTAATTTTGACTTAAATGTGAATTTTTTATACGAAAATTTTGTTTCCCTTAATAAGAAAGGCATAAATTATGTTTTGTATATCTTGCATTTTTTTTTACGCATTTTGAATAAATTTTTTTTAATGGCACTCTCATTATTTTTTCAGAATAAAATCTTAATTTTTGAGAAATGCACATCATTTACATACTAACCTCATCAGTACATTTTTTTCATACTTTGCCTAAACAGCATTTGTCATTCCATAGAATGCCTAGGTATTATATGCAATACCTACGGAAAGTATGTAATACTTCTCATATTTCATACCTTGCCTAAAAACATCCGGCATTGTATACAATGCCTAGGCATTTTATAGAATGCTGGCGTTTCATACTTTGCCGGTAACATGTGAATTGATTTCCACATGATTAATTGGCCAAAGTGAAGTTCCATGGCCTAAAGTTGATCTTAAAAAAAGTTTCAGCTGAACACACTGCGTCGGTCAGAATATTAACTAACAAAAACAAATATCTTATAAACTATTTAAACTTCAATTAATTTGAAACTTACATATTATTTGTTATAAATCTTAATATCAGAAAAAATAATTGCTTCGTACACGGAGAAAATAGGTCAAAATTACCATAATATGATTAAATTTAGCGTGTTCCTGACTCTATTGGAACACCAAAAACATCGATGATTTCTATCAAATCACTTTGGTAATTAATTTTAGTAAAATTAGCAATAAAATATAGTTTCATAGTAAGTGATAAAATTTGTTAAGTGCGGTGATATTTGGTAAATTTATTATGGCTTAAAAACCATGTATGCGGTTTAATTTACTTTACAATTTTCACCAAATATAAGGTAGTAAAAACTATAATTTTGAAAACTAGAACTTCTGACAAACCGTTATCATATGAGCGAAAAATTATAAAATGAATGGAATAAGTACCGTATATTTTGGTTTTTAATACCAGAATTATGCTTTTTTTTTAAATCAGAAATGTCATTACCATATAGTACGATAATTTCACCGAAATTTTTTTCCCGCTTATTTTGTTCTCACTTTTTATGGAATAGAAACAAAACACGAAAAGTTAAAATACTTACTTTTTAAAGCCCAGGAATCCTGAAAATGTTTCAAATCGATACTTTCCTTTATGTATACCAAATCATTATAACAACTGATGTTTGTGATATTGCTGTTACTATTTATCAACAGGGTGATGAGATTTAAAAAATTTATGGAAGGAATTTTATTTTGCACATCATTTCTCATAAGAAAATCCTTTGCCCTTTCAATTGTTCTTGAAGTTTCAATACTTTCTGCGACATCTTGCAAAACTTGATGTACATCATATAATTTCCGACCATGGTTGTTTGAGATCTCATCAGAATTGTAATTAATTTCCCCCAACACACTTGTGAAAAATAGAAATGTAACAAAAATCGTTAGTTTCATTGTTCACGCTCTGGAATAAATTTTTGATATTGTGGAGTTTAGCAAGGACATGTTACAAAGATGATCAATTTCGGAAGAGTGATATAAATCATAACAAAAACGCGTGTGTAATTTTTCGACTCTAAAAGCAATACCGATAAAGTCCGACAATTGTCAGATAAAGCTATCAAAGCATTTTGTTTTGTTACATCATAATGCATAACAAAAACTGTTGATATCACGAGAATTTATCATTAGATAAAACGGCAGAAAGAGTTCTTATAAAATTTATCGTTACGTTATCTAAAGCTTCATTCTCAATATCAAGGTGTTATCCATTTATTTCATTTTAAGGCAATGTATAATACAATTGATTTTATTAGATATCCATATCATGTGAGAAAATTGACTTTTCGGTCTAAGTAAACAAATTGTTTTTATTAATTAACGATATTATTTTGATTTAATACTATTTAATTAGATAAACACTTTTAAAATTTTTAGAGAGTGAGTGTTTTTTTTTTTTTTCAAATTTATTACAATATTAATATGGCGCTAAATTGAATTACATGAGTCTACTTTTTAAAGCTTGTTCATACGATACTATGGTTCAAATTGAAAGAAGACAATTTACCATAGTATTTTAGAACAAATTCGCACTGAATGATTCAACATGAATTGAACCATATATATATATATATATATACAATTCGTGAAAAAATTTGTAAGCTTAAACAATTGAATCTAGCGATTTTTACAGCGGTATTAGTTAAATTAAAATGATGTTGCATCGAAAATATAACTATGTTGATTCTTCAAATGGCTCAGGGGATAGAGAGGGGGGTGNAGAGCTTGAATATAATATTAGAGGGCTCCACCCCCTGCTCGCTGCCGCTCGCCAACCCCCGATAATTGCTACGCAATTTCATTTTTGTTTGCTTCGCGAACAAAATTAAAGTTGTTTTCCTGGAGATTAGCTGGTAATTTTTTTGCACCAACATCACATATTGAGAATATGATAGGATTGTAAAATGTCAGAGGTGCTTATTATCAGCATTATAAACTTATATAAAGCAATTTTAATATAAACAATATTATAATCTTACATAAAGTTGAGCAAATTTGTGATTTTGATTATTAGGAGGGATCAAGCTTGCTGTCGCAGTAACATTGACATCACCTTTAAAAGTAAGACAACTGATCCCTTTAAAAGAAATTTCATGAGATGGGCAAAAAGCTACCATCGCAAATGCAGAGTTGTACAATAGAATATTCTGTTTAAAGTTAATTGCATCAGAATGGCTGCCAAGTAAAAGATCTTTTATTACTTCTGGATATTCCAGATTGGCGAGCTCAACTTTGCCATGATGGCAGCAATTAAATTTCGTTCTGCCATGCTCTGCTGGAAACGAAAGAGCACCACAGTTTATACATTCATTGCTAAATGTTCCAACAAAAAAAGGGGGTAAAATGTCTGATAAAGACTCACCAAGGTATTCGTTTTCATTTAAACGTCTTGATTCTTCAACGTTTCTTTGTCGCGCATTCCGCCGTCGCGTATTGATAGCCCTACGATTATTTTCCAGGTAATTTTGTGCTGCTAAATTATGTTCAGCTGTATGTCGCTGTCGATATCGCCTAAGATATTCACAGCGATCCATTTTTTATAAAAGATATAAGTATTTTAAAGTAAACTCTGTTCAATATATTTTGATAATTCGGAATGCAAATAGTTTTTTGAGAGACTGTTGATTTGTGCTTCCAATAACTCTACCCGATTTATAAGAGGGCGACAGGAATCAACTTCAGTGACGTGCACAGAGGGGTTGAGGACAAGGGGATTATAAGCCCACGGATCCATTGAGTAACTAAAGAATTTATAACTTCAAATCGATTAGTGTTATTTTATTACGTAATCAAATTATTTTAGCAGGGTATTTGACTCTTGGAGAACATACTATTAAGATTAATATTATGATTTTCAATTCAATTTAACAACGAGGTTTTAGAGCGTTAGTAAACTGAAGAAAAAATTCCAATGAAACTTAAAAGTTTTAAATTTATTTGAAATTGCTTTAAATTGCTGTTCTTTTTACATTTTTCTGCTATTATTTTTTGAAAATTTTGTCGGGCAGCCTGAATTTATTGCATTATTCTAGGCAGAACGGAGGCATATCTGATGTTTCCAGGAAGCACTTGGACTTGGCAGAAAGATTTGGTAATTTCTTTGAATAGAAACCCATTCTGCACACAGGGCCGCTGGAGCATTTTCCTGCGGTAAAATCTTCGTAACTGTCGCAGATGCGTCCTAGAAATTTGCAGGTTTTGTTGAAACTGGCAATATAGTAGATGTAAGACATCGCGTGGTTGCAACTAATCTGTGTACTGAGTGATTTCACTGAAAATTAAAAAATGAGTATTTTTATCTCAATAAGTTATCAATATTTGACAAAAACAAATTTTACCTGGAAATAAATCTTGTAGAATATAACATGTCAGAAAATATGTTTTTCTTAATTTGCAGGGTTAAAAATTTCGGTAAAAAGTACTGACACCTTGCGTGCAGCATCCGTAAAATTCATTTATACTGTAAAACTTTATACCCAAGTATTTATTTAATTACAGTGATTCAGTGGTTTTTAGTACATATTCCATTAAAACTACAGTATTTCAGAATTTTTCTTTAGTTTTAGGATGAAAAGTCGACGTTCAGTGTGACAGTACTTTTCACTGTAATTTAATCCGGAGTTTTCTTCAATGTAATGTAAGCAATCTCTAATAGATACGCGCACTAAAGTAGCTACGGAAGTTCAGAGCAAAAATCTTGTTGTAAGTTCATACACAAAAATAGCCTTTTTAGCACGTCAAATTTCAACTTTGTAGTTGCATTCCTGTAGCCCGTAGAGCGGCTCGCACTATATTTTTTCTTACACTTTAATTTTTAGATGCATTTCGGTTGCTTTTCATTCATCATTGCTTTTTTTATAAGGGAAAATTCGATAAAACAGATTATTTTTATTTATAATATGAAGAATTATAATTTTAAAAAGCTATATATTATGCTAATCGTTACGAAATGAAATGATACCTTGATTTTAAATCTAGGTATCATTTCATTTCGGTATGTAGAGTTGAAAAATAATAAACCCTACTTGAGAAAAAAATAATCTCATAAAAACTTTAACTAGGAATACACAATATGCAACTCGATAAGCAGTAATAAATGAGAAGAAATTTTACTTGCTAACAATCCATAAATATAACCTTTAGATCATATATACACTGCTTGACAATTGCTAAGGAACAATTACATTTTCCGGAATAATTATTAATAGGCGTTGATTGAGGAATTGAAACTAAGTATATATTTAGCAGAAGCAATGTGCATTTATTATTAGGCAAAATAGTTTAGATATCGACGTGTCAAAAAATAATAAAATTAAAAATAAAAAAGGTACTTATTGGATGATTTCCAAACAGCCACGAAAAATTGGTCTTACCAGAATAAAACTGAAATAAGTACCTCAGTAAGATAAGTTAGTACCCCACTTAAAAATTAAAGTCTAGTTTGTTTGCATGTTTTTTCGCAAAGATTGAAATATTCTTAATTTCATCAGTTCTAAAATTCACCCATGTTGAATGATTTACTAATTTCTTCATAATGTGTTCACAGTGTTTAAATGTCCAAGTTTTCTATGCCGTGAATTTTCATTACTTTCTTCACAGGTGACAAGTGCATCTTTTCGTTCATTTAATTCATTAATTAAACTTCATGCAATTCAGAATTATTATTCTTACCTTCTTGAAAAACTTTTCCTTCTTTAGAAATTTCCACGTTATCTTTAACAAATTTTACTAAACCATCATTTTTTGTTAGGGCATGCACCGACAAAAATTGTTTACTCAAATCTGGAACATACAATACATTTTTCAAAATGTACTTTTCAGATTCAATAGTTCCTTTGTATTCAGATTTAATAACTGCTTCACCAAACCAATTTTTGACAAATTATTTTCAGGCTTTTTCAAGGCACTATTACTGTTAACCGTATGAGAAGAAGATCCTGATGCTAAGAGACTCTACCAGAAAGTGCAATATTTTGTCGTTCGCTACTAAAAGGTACTACTTAACTAAAATAAAATTATTCTGACTCCATTTTTACAAAAAACACGAAACATAACACTTTATTTTAACGCAAAAATTTGTTCGTTAATATCACCATAGCAACCGACGATACAAACTCTAACTTACAGCTTACATGTACTCAAATAACAAATAAATTAAAATCTAGCTTACAACTTCCATATACTCAAATAGCAAATAAATAAAATCTAGTACTTCTAACACCAGAATCAACTATCCAAACTTCTGAAAAATTAGAGCATTTACTTAAAGTTAAAAACGATAGAGCTTGATCGTGCTTCGTGCTGATTTTACGAAAATAACAATCTTTATCAAAGCGATTATTCTTCTTACATTTATCAGTTAAACTGCTGGAATCTTTATGTGATGAGCTATTACATTTGAAACATTTATTTTTTTTCCTTAAACGAATTTATTTGACTTTTAAATTTGCATTATTTAGAAAAATGATCAGTACTATTACATTTAAAACATCTTTTAACTTCCGTTTTAAAAGCAAACAATTCTTCCTTTTCAGTCAATTTTATATTTTATTCGTCATTCAATAACCTTGCTGTTAAATTTGTTAAAGTTTTTTCTTATTTCTCAGTAGATTTCCATGTACTTCTAAATTGCTTACATTGTTTTGGAAGAGTAGATAAAAATTTAGATAAAACCATTTCACCGTCGATTTATTTTTCCAATGAATTTAAAGCAAATGCAATGTGTTCTAATTTGCTTATATTAGTGGTGTTATCCAAGTCTTTATTAATCTATAATTAAAGAATTCTTTTAAAAAACAACAATTCTGTTGTTCCGAATCTCTTTCAAAAACACTACATAATTCTGAAAACATATCACACGTACTATTAAACGTTAAAATAAGTATCATCACATTATCTATTGTACTAACTATGATCTGTTGCAATTAAGCATAATTTTTGTTCCCCGTAATTTTGACATTCGATGATTTCTGCTCCATTTTGTTTATTAGTTACGATATCGTGCAAAGAATTTGCTTTTAGTAAATTGTTATTTGAAACTTGCATAATGAAAAATTACTCTGATTTTTAAACTTCTGAATATTAGTTAGATCACCACTTAGCTACGTCACATTTTTTTTCCTTTGATTTATTGATCTTCAGTTTTATGGAACAATTGATCTGTCTTAACGTTCTGGCGCCCATGACCTGTTTGACGCAGTGGCTTAAAGACAAACAAAGATTCGTTGACAAAGAAAAAACATTTAATACAACACAAAATATACATATAAACATACACAAAGTTGATTTTTGGTTTTAATTTTTTAAGGTATTAGTTTTTATTTTTTATCGAAAATGTTTTACGACGTTTGTTTTTATTTCACGCTGCTCAACTGAAGGTCTGGTTTCTTAAGACAAGCGCCTTATCTGGGCGCCAACGGGACGTTGACGTACCGCTGACGCCAACAAAATACTGGTTTGTTAGCTCAAGGCCTGGTTTCTTAGGACTAGCGCCTTATCTGGGCATCAGCGGAAAGTTGACGTAAAGCTGACGCCAAAAAATACTTTTTTGTTAGCTCAGCGTGAGCAGTCGGTCCAACGCACAATCCATTCACAAATGGACCAATCAGAGGGTAGCGCTGATTGGTCCATTTGTGAGTTTGATAGTATACGTCATCGAACGCTCATCTTGAACTACAATTGCCGTCCAACTCAACTGCAGCTGGATTAAAACGCGACGTTAACCACAGAAGCAATGGCAGACAACATCCAACAGCACATTGAAATCAGCCAAGATTTTGATTTTGACATTAAACATTGCTTCTTCTTTTAACATAGCACTCTTCATTAAGCTCAGCTATAATGCGTTTTTTCTTGGACAAAGTCATTATTTGTTCTCTAAAACGCTGGTCGACAAAAACAAAATCACTACAAATTCAAAATAAATATTTGTTTACGTTATTAACGCATGCGCAATGAGAGATAATGTCTGCGTTGGACCGACTGCTCACGCTGAGCTAACAAAAAAGTATTTTTTTGGCGTCAGATCTACGTCAACTTTCCGCTGACGCCCAGATAAGGCGCTAGTTCTAAGAAACCA